TATGTCAAATAGTATGATAAAAATTGAAGAATATTTTTTTAGAGTTCTTAAAATTAGATGATACAAGTGCGTTGAGCTTTTTAATGAATTAGTAAATACGCTTAAATCTCTTGATCTTGATATTGCTAATATTAGAGGCCAAAGTTATGATAATGGTTCTAATATGAAAGGTAAGCACCAAGGTGTTCAAAAACGATTACTTGATATCAATCATAGGGCTTTTTATATGACATGTGCTTGTCATAATCTAAATCTTACTCTTTGTGATATGGCAAACTCTTTTGTGAAAGCCATATCATTTTTTGGAGTTATACAACGCATATATATACTATTTTCAAGTTCTACAAAAAGATGGAAATTTTTGCTTAACAATATATCTGGTTTAATGGTAAAATCCTTGTCAAATACTCGATGGGAAAGTAGAATTAAAAGTGTTAAAGCTATTAGATTTCAAACTCCTCAAATTCGATTAGCTTTAATGGATTTATATAATTCATGTAGTGATGCCAAGTCAAAAAGCGAAGCTGAAAGTTTATTAAATGCTCTCGAGTCCTATGAATTTTTATTTGGTATGGTAATTTGGTATGATATTTTATCTGTAATTAATATTGTAAATAAAACATTGCAATCTAAATCAGTTTGTGTTGATACTGCTGTCAAACAAATAGAAGATGTTATAAAATATTTTAAAAATTATAGAAATGTTGGATTTGACTCTAGTTTAGAGAAAGCTAAAGAAGGTGCTTTTATTATGGATGTTGAATGTAAATTTTCAAAAAAAACGACATATTCATAGAAAAAACAGTTTGATGAAAATGAAAATGAAGATGTAATACAATCTGATGAAGAACAATTTAAGATTAATTATTTTCTGGTTATTGTTGATATGGCTATTACATCCTTAAATGAGAGATTTGAACAATTAAGTAAGTTTAATAGTATTTTTGGGTTTTTGTTTAATTCTAAAAAGCTTAAATCTTTGAATGATGATGAACTTAGAAAATAGAGTATTATTTTTTCAAATAGTTTATCTCATAATGATTTATGTGATGTTGATTTAGAAAATTTTATTATTGAATTAAAAGTTTTACAAGTTACTTTACCGGATAACTTAAATTCGTCTATTGAAATTCTTGAATATCTTAGCGCAACTGATTGTTATCCAAATGTTTCGATTGCTTATCGAATTTTATTAACAGTTCATGTAACAGTAGCATCTGCTAAAAGAAGTTTTTCTAAATTAAAATTACTGAAAACTTATTTGAGGTCATCTATGTCGCAAGAAAGATTGAATGGTTTAGCTATGTTATCTATTGAAAAAGAAATGTTAGAAATCATTGATGTTGATAATATTATTAATGATTTTGCATCAAAAAATGCTAGGAGAAGTAATTTTATGTAATACTTATGTATTTTTATTTATATTCTGCAGACATACAGTAAAAATAGCTCACACAAAATAGCAAACAAAATATGATAGCATGACGGCGGCAATATGTATGAAGTTAGTGAAATAATCTAAAATATTAATAGTTTTGAGTTGTATTGTTTAATGTTTAAGTTGTTTTGCATTAAACATATTTTGTGAAACTGAAATATTGCTATTTTTATTTTTTTAAAAAAATTATTTGGTAAGGGCCTCATTTTTAAGTTTTGCCTCAGGGCCTGGTATAGCTCAATTAAAGGGGGATATATTAAAGGCGATTGAACAAAGCACATATCATCGAAATTCTTTTTCACTCACGATCTTCAAAAGAGTAGTGAATGTAATGTACAACAAATTTGATCATCTGATAATTTTGCAAATTTATTTCTGAAGACACCACCAACTGCAATATTCAATAAATTGGTGCAAGGAATTGGAATGTATCAGCTGAAAAATATCAAATAAAGTCCAAAACGGGGGAAGCGCATTAATACAAGAATGTTGTACTCTTTTTCCTTCACTAGAATTTTTTTCCATGGGATTTTTTCCTAGTAAAGTTTTAAAAAGGCACATTCTTTATATAAAGCATCAAGGGGAGTATTATATATGTAGTACGCATGTAGTATATACATATTGAATACGTGGATGCGATGTGGCTCGTTCAAAGTCATGTGTATTCATTCTTATCTATAAATATAAGTTTTATCATTCAGTCAAATACATTGAAATAAAACTTTTCATTTACTCTCAATCTCACAATTCTCCCTACTCTCTCTCTTTATACATATATTAATACATACATATATATTGGTATATTAAATGTATATGTAATCATTACATATATATATATATATATATAAATATACTCCCTCCGTCTTTTAATAAATTATTTATTTTTTATTTTGGTTTGTCTCATAACAAAGTATTCATTTCTTTCTTTTAAATAACTGTACTATCTACATAATATTATAAATACTCTTACAACTTACAATATATTGCAACAAATATCATTACTTTTATATCACACAATACTAATAAGATTATTTTAGTCATTTCTACTTTATTTATATTACATATTAATATAATACTAATATATCTTAACCTCTATACAAAAAACAAACGAATACTTAGTTATGAGACGGAGAAAGTTTTATTTATTTTTATCAATCTTTTAAATTGCATTGTTTATAAACTTTGTACTTTTAATACTAAAATATCACTCCAAATTAAAACAAAAATACAAATAACTTATAAAATATTATATAAAAATCGGGCTTAAATATCAAATAAAAAATTAAAATTAAATATTTATAATATTTCAAGAGTTTATTTTAACATATACTACCTTCGTCGGGTCTAAGGGTCTCATTTATTTTTTGCATATTGATATTTGAATATTAATTATTATATCGAAACGCAGTACAAATTAAGTAAAAATTGCAAAAATACTTTCATTAGTGTCTTATAATACTAATAAAATGACATTTGTACAAAAAATTATACAAATATAAGGATATTTTTAATATTAAGTACAATAACGCAAAAGGTAAATGTGACCCTTAGAGACGTACGGAAAGAATATATCTTTTTACAAATTATATCTAAATTAATTTTTAGCTAAGTTATTTTCTATTTCACATTTTTATTGTATTATTTTATAATTTTTTGTAAAATATAGTACTCTCTCCGTCCACTTACAATGTTTACATTTACTTTTGACGCTGTGTTTAAGAAATAATAGTATTTTAATTATAGTGAGTAGTTAAAAATAGTGTAATGACATTTTTGCCCTTATTTTTTTGTATAAAAGTAATGATGTGATTTAAAATAAGGGTATTTGTGGAAAAAATAGGGTATTTAATAAAATATTAACTTTGTAATTGGACGTTCCAAAATAAAAACATGTAAATATTGTAAGTGGACGGAGGGAGTATTATGTTTTTCACAAAAGTGTTATATTATATTATATTATAAAAAATACATATAAATATTAGTATAAATAAATTAAATGTAATAGTTTATAGTATAATATTTCAATCTTAAAATTATATTTAGATAGTATTTAATAATATTTTGAAAATATATATATATAATATATTTTTACTGTAAAGTAAAATATTTAAAAAATTAAATAAAAATAATTGAATAATAATTAAATTTGAATATAAATTTAATATTTTTAAAAAATACATATTTATATAAATAATAGTAAAGATTGTCATGGCGCCTTTTTGCCTGTGAACTACCATACAACTATGGAATAAAATAACGAACATGTGCGCATGTGTATAAAAATAATATATTTATGCATATCCACTTATAAGAACTTATGTCAAGAAAATATAATAAAAATACTTGATTAATTTTTAAAATTTTAAAATGAATAAATATATAATACTCCATTCAATCCATTTCGAATAGGTCTTTTGAAATTTTGTATTACATTAATAAATAATACTCCCTCCGTCCCATTAAAAATTGTCATTTTTTATTTTTGTTCGTCCCAAAATAAGGTTACAATTTTCTAATTTAGTAATTGTACTACTTTTCTAATATAATAAATAATCTTCCAACTTACAATATATTACACAAATGTCATTACTTTTATATTACACTATACTAATAGGGGTATTTTTATTTTTTTTTACTACAATCTAATATAATACTAATATTCAAAAATCTACATGCAAAAAGCAAACGCCACTCTTTTACCGGGACGGATGGAGTAATATTTTATTGATTAGTAAAAGTGCATAAGAAATTTTGACATTTTTGCGCTTGCTTTGACTTTTATATATAAAACAATGGGATATGTAATGGTATGTTTATAATTTAAATAAAAATTAAAAATATTTTAGTATTAGTGTATAATTTATTTTTTTATAAAATATAAAATACAATTTAAATTGGACGAACTAATATAGTAAAAAAAATATTTTAAATTGAATCAGAAGTATATACTAAATAATAATGTAATAATAGACTAAATACTAATTATAATAGTATAAATAGTTAATAGTACTACCACTGTGGGACGATAGAGCCGTAAATGAGCCGAACAAAGCCGAACTTGCCATGTTTGAGCTCGGCTCGTTTAGCAATTTTTTTGTTCGTGTTCGGTTCATTAAAAGAAATTTTATTTTATTTATTTAATTTTTTTAAAAAAATAAATTTAGTTAATAATAATTATAATTTTTATTAATAAATTTAAATAAAAAATAGAATGAAATATAATATTTATAAAGATATATATATACTTATTAAATATAAAATTATTAATTTAATTTTTTAAATAAATATTATCGACACAACGAGCCAAAATTTATGTTCGTGTTCGATTCGTTTAACTTAACGGACGAGCTCAAACGAACCGAACCGAATCGAGCTCTCGAACTGTATTGCTTGTTTAACAGCTCTAGGGATGATATGAGTGTACAAAGAGACAAGACTGCGACCAGGGGAGGGGAGGAGATTGAGCTGGGCTTGCTTTACAAGGTTCCAGACTCACTCACTGTCCAGTGCCATCCGTACAACAATCAATGGTAATACACTAATAGTGATGCAATTCTAAAAATACATCAATCCTAACATTTTATTTATTAGTTGAAATAGAGCAACCAACTGTATACATACATACATTTATTCATTCAGCTTCAGGATAAAATAAAATCCAATTAATAACTAAGTAATTATACTTGAATCCCATAATACCTCTGCTCTGCTCTGCTCTGCTCTGCTCGTCTCATCTAATGATAATAATATGCTTAAGTTTTTTGCCAAACAAAAACACAAACTCTTATCATACATATATATGATACGATACGATGGGTTGGCTGCTGCTGGTCCTCTTGGCTCTTTCTAGTGCTAGTGCTAGTGCTAGTGATAGCCTTGGTTCTAGTTAGGATAGAAGGGGCGTCTCCGCATCTGCAATTGCATCCTCCTCCTCGTCATCCATGGCCGGTGCCTTTTCCAGTTTCAACGTCCATGCCAACACCAGCGATACCACCTGCAAGTACATGTACAACACCCACTCCCGTCAAACTCTACTACTCTACTCGTCTAATTATTAGTTACATTCCTTACCAAGCTTATAGATGCCAGTATGATGCTGAAACCCTTGCACTCAAAGGGGGCGTCGCTCGACAGGAACCAATCTGCCATGGATGGGATGATTGATTACTTACTTACACAATGACAATGGAAGGGAAGGGAAGGGGAAAAAATAATCATTTGGGCGACAGATGCATCAATCCAGCTGATGAAAGAAGCTTACTTGTTAATGGGCTCATAGCAATCGGCGAGAGAAAGCTCGCAACAGCTTGGACACCAGCTATGAACCCTTGTGCTTTCCCCTAAGGTACAAAACCACATTCCGGTTAAACCAGAATTGCCTTCCCAAGGTAAACACATTGCAACTTGTTTTTCTTGTTGGTGATATTTTGATCAAGAATGAATGTGAATGAGTAGAATGTGCTGGACCACCAACCTGATTCGCAGAGCTCGACGCCAAAGATATCACTGCGTAAGTCTGCCATGGATGATAATAATAGCAATCAGCACACACATAGGAAAATAAACATATGGAATTACTTGAAACAGTCACAGCAGAGTTATGCGTAGGCGATGCTTACAGAAGGTTTCACAAGTACATACACAACTCCAAAGGAAGCACTCAAATACGGCACCTGTGCAACAGCGCACACAGACAATTAAATTAGCGGTAAAATTCTTCCAAGTCAAAATAATTGGCTCTCATTTTGCAATTTGAGTGTATGCTTGCAAGATAAGCTTCACATTGTGTAGTATTAAAAAGCAGTGATAATCAATGTGGATTTAATTTCGAGTTTAGAGTGTGGCATTACATACCCATGGAGCCCAGGCAAAACCATAAAGCAGTCCCTGCAGAATCAAACTATTAGTGAAGCAAAGCAAAAGGCATTCAAGCAAGAAAAGATGTCCAAACACACATAAAGTACACGTGGTCTTACATATGCAACCGATCCAAGCAAGGCTACACACAGAATCACTTTCTCTCCAACCAATGGATTGACTAATGGAACCAGCAGCATCTTGAACCACACAATACCGAATGAATTAAGATGTGACAAAGTAGTAGTGCATCATGCTTATTTATCGAGTTATTGGAAGTTACCTGAGAAAAAATTGAGCCAACCCCGACCAACATCAAGAGTTCAGAAAACTGATTTTTGTTGAAACCAAAAGCCGACTTCAAATAGTACTGCAAAGATGTACAGCCAAGTCTTATAAGAGCTTTTGATCATACATGTCCTAAGAACTCTGGCTAAATTTCCTGTTCATATATGAAAGATAAATGCATCATCCAGAAATCAAATGAATCAACATTGTAGCTGGAGAAGTACCAATAGAACACTGCTGATGGCAGACATCCCCAGTTCGTAGAAGAAGGAAACGAGAGAGATGGACTTAAGAGTCGAGCTGCAAGGAAAATCCAATTTCATTTAAACACATATTGATGCAACTCCTTGGGGGACACTCAGCACGTCTAACATTTACCTGCTCATAACAATTTGTGCAGCGTGTTTCATTGAGTAATATCGTTCTTGCACAATTTTAAATACTTTTCTCACGAAAGGGATATTCTGATACGGTGTGTGTGTTGGCTTTATTGTTTCCTTCAGAAACAGAGCTAGATAAACCGGACCAAGAATCAAAAGAACTATTGACACCTGAGATTCAAGTAATATAACATGAAATGATAGAGGATGATCGAAAAAAAATATAGAACGATAAAGTTTTACGTCATAAACATACCTGAAATATGTAAGCTGAAGGAAGAAATCGTGCCAGCATATCGCCTAGAATGTGAGACGCAGAGTTCAGGCCTGTGATCCAACTAAAGGCAGCAGCCCTCTTACTGTCGTCAACAACATCCGCCTGAATTTTTCTTCAACAAGTTAATGTGATTGAGTCATACTCATGCCTTTACGTCAGCTTAATGCTCAACACGGAATAGACTTACAGCATAAGAAACAGAGATCAGGAAAATGGTTCCCTGGCTCATTATTCTAGAAATAATCGAGAAAACATAGTGCACATATACAGCTCCTCTACTTTTACTGATGACAAGTATAGCTGAAAAGAACAAAACGAGGTGTTAGGACAAGCGACCGTTGGAATGGATAAATAATTACATCTTTTATTTTGAAATGCATGACCTGAGGCATGTTTCTGAGCTTCATTTTATAGCATCTTTCATGCAAAATGGAACCATTTATTGTTCAAACTTCAAACATAATCAAACATAGGATATATTCTCTAAAATACGGGAAGGATTATTAAATTTTTATTTTAATTTCATTATACGAATCAAATACCTACTATATGGATGCTGGCTGCATTAATGGAATAGTCTAATGACAACAGCTTGTACAAGTCAATATATTTTTTCGTCAATAAATTTATAAGTCCAAAAGATGTCACATTTTGAACTCAGAACTATTAACTGCCAAATTACGATTGCTTCTTTTATTACGCCTAAATGAACAATTGTGTAGTAAGTTGCTTCAAGTCTTGGAGTCGTTGCATGATTGCATTAAACAACATTTGACTGTAAAATGCAGCTAGATGCAAGAAACATACCAAAAGGAACCACACTAGTCGGTAGGGTAATAAGAAGCAAGGGTTTGCGCCCATACTCATCAGCCAGCTGACCTAAGAGTGGAAGAACTATCATCTTGAATATTCCTGAGATCTACAACCACAAATAGAAATTTTGAATACGATCATTAACAAAAATAAAAGAAATAAAAACTGTTACTACTAAATTCAAATTTCAAAGCACTAAAATATGCATAAAAGACAGTAGAATGAAACGTAAGTGACAAAATTTTGGATTTACCAATCAAATGAAAAAGAGATGTAAGTGTGCATCAAAGACTTAAGATTACATAAAGTTATCTTCCTGATGAGGAAGGACCACTGGAAAATATAGAACTTTCAATTTACATAGCTCGACTCATTCTTGCACAACTCAACAATAGTCTGATATGGTCTACTCATTTTATTACAAACCTCAATGAATCTAAGCATGGTTTCACTTTTTTCCTGTGCAGAAATTTCATGCATCCATCTAGCCAAACATTAGAAAGCTTACAAGCTAATAACAGTGTCATGAATTTCAAGCTCAACCTTAAACCACTGAATGTGCTTTGAACACAAATTTTAGCAGTGAGTAGTAACTCATAACAGAGAATGGCATGCATAAATCTAAAAACTGGTGATGATGATTCCGAAATGTAGCCAACCAGGTTTCGAAATAATCCAACAAAAATAAAGAGATAAACAAGCATTGCAGATTCGTTTGCAGTTAGGTTATTCATAAGTAAGAAACAAAATCAGAAAATTTTAAAATTTAAACACAGCCTTCATTCATCATTAAAGAGACAAAGATCTTCTATGAATGCTCAAAGATCCCTGCAGATTCTTATTTTCCCTGAAACATTTATCAATTCTCATTATTTATTTCAGCTGAATATGAGACCAAGTAAACTCACAACCACCACGAAATCATCCAGAGTCAAGATCGGGTATCATAAACCCTAACACACACCCATATCCCAATGAGTCCAAAAGTCACAAGCAACTGTTAGTTACGTCTAATTCAACGCAGAAATTAAAGTATAAACAAATGCTTGCTAGCCTAGCAGATCTCTCTTGTATGCCACCATTTCCAATAAATAAATAAAATCCAATTCATGTTCAAAAGCGAAAGGAGACTCACAGTCTGTTGGATGCCGCTGATGTAAATGGCTTCGGGGCACGTGGTTTCGCCGGGACATAGAGCATTAGTAGTGACATCCACCAGCACAGAAACCGTCATCTCCTCCGCAATCCAGTGCAGGATGAGCGGCACCAGGAGGTGCACCAGCGGCAGCAGCGCCTTCATTGACTCGATTTTCAACTCCAAAATTCAGCACCGATTCCGCAGTATGATTCTACAGCCGATATTCAGCGATACGTTTAAAAAATCTGTCTGTAGGTTTTGAATGAGAAAATGACTGTTGAAAAGGACAGGACAGTTGTCTGATAGTCTCTGGGACGCGACAGGGAACTGCAGCCATGGCGCATGGAGATGTATGTAAGTAGATATAGGAATGGGGAGGGGGGAGGTGTACGACGTCGCGGCGGTCGTGCAGCGGGCACACAGTAGTCGCGTGGAGGCGGTCGATGGGCGTGCGCCATATCAATGGCAGGCGTGAGCCCTCAGCTCGGCCCAGAAGAGAAGAAGAAATTAGAGAAATGGCAAAGACGACTGAGATGGACTTGGATATGAATAATTATTTTAAACGATATTTTTTGTTTGTATTGAATTGTATTGTATTCTTCTATCTTTGTTGTCATCAAGACATGGCTTCCGATAACGAAATACTCTCTGGCTATTGTGACTCTGTTCGATCCGACAATTTAAGAGGTGTATAATTAATAAATAATTAAGAATATATTAGTAAAAATAATTATAATATAATAAAAATAATTTTTGATTAAAATTAAAATAATTGAATAATTAAGTTGGACAGACAAAAATAAAAATGTGGACGTGAAATTGAAAGAGTATCTCAGTTTTTATTCAGTCTTTTTTTTAAATAAAAAATATTGATGGATGTGTGAGATTTGATTTTCCGATTTTACTATTTCAACCTTTAAAAAAAAAAAATCAAATCAAATACCTATTTTTTATTTATTATATTACACTAAAATTAAATTTTACATTCAAAATATCGTATTTATATATATTTATATCATATCAAACAATTATTTCAATTCAAAATTTTACATTTTCAAAACCAAAATCCAACTAAAATTTTACAAGTAAACAAACTCAATGCTTTTATATTTTTGGATAGGTAGATCATATTTTATGTTGAATTTAAAGGTAAGTATTGATCCGTTTAAATTGAAAAAGTTTATTTTTTTTATTCAAACAAATTAATTTGGTCTCTTCGGTTAATTAATTGTATTAGATTTAAAATTGAATTTATAAATTTTGATTTCGATTCAATTATGATTTTCAATGTTCAAATAAAAAACATCGAACTTCAAATAAAATATATTTTATATCTTATACTTTGTATATTATAGTTTTAATTTTCAAATATTTGTATTTCAAATTTTGATCTATTTGTAAGTTGTTAGTGTCACGGACCGAATCCCGTGACCAGAGATGGCCAAGAGAAAGAACAAAAAATAAGAAGCTAATCCGAAACTTTAAGGAACAATTCGACGGTCTGTCTGTGACATTAGGAACATGTAATTGGGGATAATGAATCTTCATTCGTGATTGACGATGAAAAATGAATTGAATAAATAATTCACACGTCATTATGAGAATTTCAAATATTATATTTTTTCAGTTTTAAGTCGAATCAAACCAGTTTAGTTTTGCAACATTTAGTTAAATTGTATTACTTACGTCCGGCTCTAAAGGTTTATTTACTTTTTACGGGTTAATTTTTGAATATTAATTATTATATCAAAATATAATATAAATTTAAAAAAAAAAATTGCAAAAATATTTCTATTGATGTCTTATAATAATAATAATACAACGATATTTGTACAAAAAAAATTATATAAATATAAAAATATTTTTAATGTTAATATAATAACACAAAAACTAAATATGAACTTTACATGCGGAAATAGAGAATATTAAAGAAATATTCCTAGTACTTTTTGTATTTTTTATTATAAAAGTAAAATATATATATGTATTAAAATCGCACCAAAAAATTTGAACATATTTTAGTACCTAAATTACGCCAACAAGATAAGTTGCCTGCAAATCATACGGAATAAATCTCCAACTAAGTGTAACGATCAAAAGAATACACCAATAAAATAAATGAATTTTGAACCTAATAGTAAAAAATTATATATATATATATATATATATATAGAGAGAGTAAAAATTTAGATAAAATAGTTACAACCTCCATTTTAGTTGGCACTTTTCATCGGACACGGTATTTAAAATAATAATATTTATTTAGTTAATAATAGTGAATTATTATATTATTTTTTTATTTTTTTATTCTCAAATAATTTGTTCTTATTTTTTATTTACGTTCCTTTCATGTAATTCGTCATAATTATACATTTTAATCGCATTTTAAATTTTAAGTAATACATTTCTTAATTACTTACTAATTATATTTTACCTAAATTGTAGTATCTACGCTAATACACCCAAGTTATATGAACGGATGAAGTATTATTTTATATATTTTTAGATTAATAATATTGATAGTTTTAAATAAATTTAATAAATTATAATCAAATAAAATAAAACATGTATTTAAATATTTTAAAAATTACTATCGCAATAAAAAATATATACAATCTAAATATTATCTTGTACAAAATAAAATTTTATAGAATGCAAGTAAATTAAAAATATTTTTATTTATTTATAATTAATATAAATTAATTTTATAAAAAATTGAAAGTTTTAAATATAGATAAAAATACTTATTTTTTTAAAAACAGACATGAAAATAAAAGAGTTTTACTTAGGTTATTATAATATTACATATAATTAATTATTTTCTATTTATATTTGTTAACTACTCATTGTGATGAAGATAGAATGACGAAAATAAAAATAATATAATTGTGATGAATATAGAATGACGATTTAATTAGTATAGTTTATATAAATTGATAAATTAATATTTAATGACAAAATGAAACCGCAGCCGTCTTTTCATTGGAAATAAGTCTCCAGCTACCTCATTAATTTCTTTGATAGCCACTAAAGTTGAATGTTCAATGACAGCTGATAACATGTTGCGTGTATTATCCTTGATTGGTTTAGGATAATATAATATTTTTTTCGTTTATGTTTTTTATGTCCAATTTTCTATAAATGCATAAGAAAATTTAAAAATATATTAATAAAAAAAATTATTTATTTAAATTTGATCCGACCCGTAATCTAAAATTTTAAACTCGGATTTGACCTAAACCCGATTAATGTGTATTTCATTGGCACATTTCCTTGGAAGCCTACTGTTTGGTTACTGTTTCGCGTAATTTGGGGGCGAGACTACCGTAGGGGACAATTCTGTCAGCTTCGTAGGATTTGACCAATGCGATTCGTTTCATATTCCTTGCATTTATCATCCCACCCACCCTTCCACCTCCTTCTACCCCTTCAAAGAAAAACGCAACCTTCCTCCTTCCACAACTTCTTCCTTCTCTGTTACAGATCCAAGTTGCAGAGGGCAACAAGGAAAACGACCGTCTCTGTAGATCTCGGCGCGGGGCGACGTTTACCGGGAGGCAACGAGAACGCGTTTACCCACCTCTTTTCGTCGTTCACGGTACGCCAAAATTTTTCACTTCCGCTTTCAATTTAATGGAGGTTCGACATATTTGAGTAGTCCATAGGTGTCGTTTTTACCTGGGTTTATTTATTTCAAGATTTTGTGCCGCCAGGTTTAGGGTTTAGGGTTAGCACTTTCGTTTCACGGGAAGAAGTTCCCTGTCGACTTAGTTTTGAGATTTCGCGTAGGTGTAAATGTATGATAAGCCGATTAGCCGTGGTCTGTTTTTTGTTGCTGTTGTGGGCTTTTCTTAGAAAAAATAGTAACTAAGCATTGCGCCGCGCCTCCAGTTGCCCTTCGCCGGGTTCGACGCCCGGCAAGGAGGACGACCACGTTCGGACGCGCCACCCATTAGTCCTTTCGTTAGAGCTTCTAACTTAGCACAATGAGAGGAAGATGTGCGTCGTTACCTTAGTTAATGTGTGTCGTCATTGTGGGATCGAGGTTTCGTAGGAGAACTTTGTTGTTAGTCACCTTACGGTTGCAGAAACAACTGGAAAATTTGTCTACCCCATTAACTAAAGTCACATTTTACGGGGGTGTACTCAACCCCGATGTGCTGTATGTGGAACACTAATGCTGAAGCGCATAAGCCGTACCACTAAAAACCCTGGCCGTCCTTACTTTTCATGCCTATACTGCCCTTGTGGGCAAGGATCCTTTTGGTGGTGTTCGGAGTGGGAGGCCACCGTGGTACAAGATGTCGTTACGTAACAACCGTTCACTGGGGGAGCATCTAATAAAATGCCTGTACGGAATGGCCAGAACAAAGGAATGCAGACAAGGGATTGAGAATTATGGTTCCCTACCGAAACGGACGCAGAGCTTCGACCACATAAAGGGGGAACCTGCAAGTGGATAGTCATTTCAATGATCGTAGTTTTCGTCGTATGCTTCTAACTTGTCATTTAAATCATGAAACCGTAGTCCCTTCATTAGCGTAATAGTTGCAACAAGCCTCGGCCCTAGTGTCCAACCTTTTGCTACTACGTGTAATCGATGGGTTCCACGTAATGGATGTTTAGGAACCGATGTTTGTTTCTATGTAATCGGCGTGGATATTTATGAAGTTTGTTGAATGTGAATTATAACGTTGCCTTCGTAGGCTAAGTATTTTGTTTGATGTTTTATAGCTAACGGTGACAACGACTATGCCATACCCTGTAACCTTTAATTGCGGAGACCCGCCGTGAAGGAAAATTTCACTTGATGCAATACTAGCACGATCGTGCACAACCGTGTGGGGTGTGCTTTGTTTTTCTGTTTTGGTGTTCATTGGAAGCCGAAACAATGAGAAACATCATGCACGACCGTGCATATTGTGTTGTAAATTTCTGTTCGTGTAGAGCACACATGGTACTTGTATTTATCATGGCAAGCAGTCAAGCTGAAACACACTTGCATGGACGTGCATACGTACCTGCATCTCTCTGTTTCATTTTGTTACCACTATATGTTTTCTCCTTCGGCTTTAATGCACGGCCATGCAAAAATACCTATTTTTTCCTGTCGGGCATTCGTTTCGCGTGTATATGCATTTGTTAATGCACGGCCATGCAAAAGTCCTGGATTTTTCCTATTTTTTGAATGGTCGTGCACATTAAACTATTTATTAATCTTTTTCCTTCGTTGCGTTTGCATGTCTTAGGTTATCCTCTCTGCATGTTCATCGGCATGGCACCCGTGAAGAAGAGGTCCAGGCGAACTAAGAAAACCACAGCCGTATCTCCATCCATGGTTCCTGCCTCCGACGACCAAGCTTTGAGGCCATTTGAGAACCCAGCGCATGGACTAGGAGTTACGACGGGATTTGTGGAGAGCCCGACGTCGAAGATGAAGCCCGGTGGCATTGACGTCCTCATGCAAATGGGCCTACTCCAAAGGCGACGGCGTGGGGATCTGGTGACGCACATTGACAAAACTATAACCAATTCAGCGGTGCAGGGATCCATGTCTTCGGCCGATGCAGTCGTTGCCGGAATCCACCGTCATCTTGAGGAGATGGAGAAACGCATCGAGGGTCAGCTACTGGCGATTGAGCGCAGAGTTGATGCATTGTGCGCGCACTCTGGAGTGTTGGACGGAGGGTCATCCTCGTCGGGTGCATTGCGTGAATCGCCTAAGTTATAATATAATTGTTTGCTCAATGAACGAACTAGGGACGTACTTGTATTCGGCAACGACATCAAATACTCGTTTTCCTTTTGACGTTTTGGTGGCTTTCCTAACTCTGGGTCCGATTGAAATTGTACCGCTCTCTGCTGGACGCAGTATGCGCATGATATGTTTTTGCCATTGACGGTTGTTAACATTTTATATTCGGCACACTCTTTCATGTCGGGTACATCGGTTGTATTATATATTAAACGTAATTTGTACCGAAGAAATACTTTTTGCACTAGTCCTTCCGCACGTAACTGAAGGCTTCTACCTGGAACCATTTTTCCAGTAGTTCTTCCGCGGGAAAAACATCACACTTTATATTTATTGCATGTTTTTATGTAATACTCCCTCTTTCCCGGAACTTTTATATGTTTTACGGTAGGCATGAGAATTTAGGAGGGGATAAATAGTAAATAATTTCAAAATATATTACTGGAAGTAAGCATCGTGTAATAAAAATAAATAAAAATAATTATAGATTAAGATTAAGATAACTGATTAGTATAATTAAATTAAAGAAATTATAAATTAAATTTTTTAAAATAAGACTAAAATGTATAATTATTTTTTTAAAAAAATAACAAAATTAGTGGGACGGACGAAAATGAAAAGATGGACATAACAAGTGGGATGGAAGGAGTATAAATTAATTTATTAAACTAAATTAATAATCACATCATTACAATCATTACCTATCAAATCACTACTCAACAAAATTCACTAAATTCAAACAAAACCTAATACACCAAAGGAACCGCATTCCCAAAACTCCTAAAAAATTCAAATCCAACCCAACCCCAAACCAAATCTTCCCAAATCCAATGTAAAGGAACACACTCATTTTGTTGAAATTTGATCCTACCCGTGATCTAAACTTTTTTAATCCGGATCTAATCCAAGACCTGACCCACAATAAAATAAAATTCGTATTTGTTGAAATTTGATCCGACCAATGATCTAAGCCTTTTAACCCGGATCTGACCCAAGACCGACTCATAATAAAATAAAATCCCTTTCTCCTCCCCAACTCCTTCGTTCTATTCATTCTCTGCGTGATATTTTTTTTTCTTTTCCTCATATTTCGTTGTGTGGATATTTTGGGGGTTTCTTGCGTGATGTTCGATATGTTCGTTTTCTCTCGTCAATTTCTTCGACTAGAAAACATAACAGTGGTATCAAAGCTATAATATGTCAAAACAACGCGTTGCAAATTTTAGGCAGAATTTTCGGTTATAGATCGGCCAATGGTAATAGATTGATTTTGATAAAAAAAAAAATTAGATTCTTCTTTTAATTTTTATGTGGTGAATTTGATTGTGTGCTGATTGCACATCTGGATCTATGGTATTCATTTGGGATTTATTGTATTTAAAAATTATATGGATTTAGAAAATTGACAAAATTTAGCTGGATGAATTTTATTTATTAATTTAAATGGATTTTTATAAATTTGATTGAATTGTTTTTTAATTTCAATGAATTTTATATGATTGTAGAATAATTTTTCTATTGATTTATATCATTTGTATAAATTTATATAAAATACATTTAAAGATAAAGAAATTAAATAATTAAATAAAAATACTAAAAATGTAATAGTTAAAATAAAATATATAGTTGAATGTATATTATTATTAATGAAGTATAATAATTGTCCCGTAATAGTATATTAATATTTTTAAATATATATACATGTATATTTATTATTAATTTAACAAATTTTGATGTGAAAAGATAATAAGATAAAATAGATATTGAGAAAATAATATCTCATTGCCAAGTAATTTGGGTTCAAGTTTTGCATATCTTTTTTAATTAAATTTATTTAAATATTTTTTTAATGCAATAGAAAATAAAAATTAATTCATAATTTCAATTAAAAACATATATTTTTAAGAATTTTCTAATATTTAGGTTCTATTTCTTTTGATTTAGTTTGGTAAATTTTCGTTTTGATGTGATATTAAAATAATATATGATGAGAAATTTTGTGAGAAAAAAAAAACATTCGGAAAATGCAGAGTTTAAATAATACTCCCTCCCTCCCACATAAGTTTTCTTTGTTTTTTATTTTCGTCTGTCCAACGTAACTTGTCCTTTCCTTTTTTGGAAATCTAATTATCCACTTTAATCATATTTTAAATTTTAAATTTTATAATTTTATAATTTTTTAATCTTAATTAAACTATTTACTTCTCTTAATCTTAATTTATAATTATTTTTACTAAATAATAATTATTTCTATTAATACACTTATTAATTATATACTAATTATATTTTATCTAAATTTTCGTATCTACATGAATATGCCCAAAATATATCGGACGAATGGAGTAAAAAAATGGAGTTTGATAGTTAAAGTAAAACACACCCCTACTAGTTTAATATTTAAAATTATTATTATTTTATGCTAATATATTTTAGTTTTTGAAATTATTATTATTTTATCAAAATATTATCATAATATTTATAACATCGAGTAGTAATAATAATAATAATAATATTTTTAAGAATTCACATGAATGTCTAATGAGAGATTTCACATTGTATTATTAATTCATAATTCTCAACAATAATCCAACAAAATTCATAGAATTTCAAAGTATATGGTTGAATATCTCAAAATTTTAAAAAAAAAAATTTTAAAGTTTGAATTGAATAATTTCATATTTTAAAAGACTTTTAAAAGTTTAGATCGATAACACCACGATCTTAAAAGTTCAACACAATCCTATAAAATTATGATTGAATACACCCTCCTTAAATTTTATAACTTGATTGGTTATTTTTTGTTTCAAGTGTGTGACAGACGTTCGTTACACGCTGCAAAATTTAAATAAAATAAACCTACTTCTACGATAAATATAACGTAGTATAGATGAAGTAGGATCGTCTCTTCAGGAAATTAAAAATATTTTATTTCGATTTTTCAATTTATAAATATAATAAAAAATGGATTTTTTTAAGTAGGAAATAAAAATAAAATAACAAACTAAAAACTCTACGTCTAAAACATAAATTCAATAAAAATGAATTTCCAGTCTATGAATGAAATTGACAACTTGGATAGTGGATTTGATCATCAATAGATATTTAATTTTATTGGTTTCTAAATAAATTAGTTATAGTTACCTACACACGCTTAATAACCAACTATTCCTTAATTTCTCGACAGTTTAGATACGCCCGTCAACTATTCCCCCATCTCACATAATTTGTCTTTATTTTTTATTTTCGTCTATCCCACATAATTTATCTATAATTATACACTTTAATCACAATGTAAATTTTAAATTTTATAATTTTTTAAATTTTAATTAAACTATTTAATTATCTTAATCAAATCTATAATTATTTTTACTAAGTATACTTTATCTAAATTCTAGCGCCTACAGTAATATACCCATATTATATGAGACGAAAAAAATATAATATAATATTACATAATATAAAATAATGATTAACAGTGTAAATAATTAATATTTCTATGGAGTAATCCTATATTAATATTAGGACAAAAATACTCATTTGTTTGCACAAAAAAAGAATACCAAACATTTACTTTTTCCTTCAACATCATATCCACCGGAAAATACATATGCTCTGCACGGCAGAAACCTTTATTTTTCCTGGAAATTTTTCAGATGCAAAAAAAACATATAAGACACTCCAAAACATAAACAAAACACACCCTACTTCCGGTCAAAAAAAAAAAAGCACACCCTACTTAACTTGCTAGAGCTAATTAATTACCAAATCATGATTACAATGCAGTTGAAGAAAAGGCTGCGAAAAGATCCAGAACATATGAGTGAGATCATGGTGCATTAGCTTAATTATTCGTGAGGTGCACCAGTTAGTGCTGCTTCATCTTCATCTTCATCGAGTTCTTGCTCGACGCCTTTGACCTCAGGCACATAATGCATTAGCATGTTCTCTATGCCCGATTTCAGGGTGACGGATGAGCTTGGGCATCCGCTGCAGGCTCCTTGCATTCTTAATTTGACTATTCCAGAGTCCACATTGAATCCCACGTATTCAATGTCTCCACCATCGTCTTGTACAGCAGGACGGATACGTGTTTCTAAGAGTTCTTTGATCATGGCGACTGTCTCTGAATCATCCTCCTGGATGGCAGTATCCATGGAAGATGCCGTGGCTGAATCCAGAATCAATGGCTGCCCGGAGGAATAAAAGTCCATGATTGCAGCAAATATTTGAGGTTTAAGCAAATCCCAAGAGGTGTCCTCTGATTTTGTCACTGTTATGAAATCAGATCCAAAGAAGACCCTGGTAATCCCTGAAATACCAGAAAAATTTCCGCGTGGGTTTAAAGAAAGGAATCGGGCAGTTTTACATGATACAAAAACTCAAACAACGTCAGGCAATATCCCAATACAAGACATAATTCCAACACATGCAAAATGAAAGACACAATATAATTTTGTTGCATTCCTAAGCAGTGGCAATTTTAAGTAATCTTTGTAAAATAATATGGTCCCACTGAAAACATATGCATCTTCATGTATGGTAAAGTAATATATAATACTTCCTTTGCCTACCAAAAGTGTGGTTGTTTTTACCATTTTAATTTGTCTGCCAAAAGTATATTCATACCATGTAAAAATAAAAAAGTTGAATTACTCTTTAAATTTCTACCCATTATTTTTCCATCCATGAACACTATTAGCACTGATGGGCCCTGCATGTTTCTTACGATCAGTCTATTTTAATCGAAATATTAAAGTTATTAAACCTATATGAAAGCTCCAATTTTACCCTTATTAAAGTATAAAACAACAGTAGTATACTACTATAATATAGTCTTATCATAACAAACAATCAATACATGATATCACCGACACTCATAATGAACTTGTTCAGTCAACACAAATACTTCAAACTTCAAAACATCCATTAACGAGTGTAAATGTTACTTCCACTTGGATGATGAACCCTTTTACATGTTCTGTAATAATTTTTTAATTTATTCTTTCCTTGCCTATTACTTTCTATCATTGGAAGCTTAGTATATTATACCCTATCAAAAGGTAGAAATTAGAGGGTGCCATTTGATTTCACTCATCGATGTCCTAGGATCCTTAAAATAGATTTATCAAAAGCTAACATAGACAATTACTGAGTTCACTCAATGTCTCAATCTTAGGGATACTGATAATATCAAAACAGTCGCTTAGGCCAACAACTCAACCCTATCGTTATTAATAATCAAATATGAAAATTCAATAGAAAATATATAGATGTGGAAAGTAACAATACATAATAAACATTTGGATAAGAAAATTCTCAATGTTGATCCAATTTTACATATTAGTAGCAGATGCTTCGAGGTCTATCAACCATTCCTAACGTACACAGAACACTAGCAGCACAATCTGCATACTGTTTTTCCAGTGTCACAAACCACCAGCAGCCCTCACACCCCAACCCAAAATCATATATGTAACCTCATAGGTGTTTGTTGGCTGCGATTTACTTCTTGTAACGAAGTAACATACATAAATATAATGAAAGAATATCTGACTATTCTTGTTCAACAAGTATTGACTATGGCCATAATAGATATGAAGCTACCTCCTAAATCAAACCCACTGTAGAATGATTTTCCTACACTGGTTTTTCCATTGTTGTCTTTAGTAGTTGTTTCAAGGCACGTGTGCACATTTACAAAAAATAAAAAACTACAAATGCACAACATAGGTCAATAATGACAATGATTGCTTCAAAAAAAAATAAAATAAAAAATTAACAAAAGGTACTAAAACAATTAGGAGGGAATGCGCACCGTCGATTCCAAACAGAGCCTTTGCAAGTGGAGAGGTCATAGCAGAACGTGCGTTAGGAAAGTCAGAACTTCCTGACTCCATGACTGGCTTTCCTGGATAGAACATGAGAGAAGCAGGATTTGGAGTTGCCTGGGTTTGAATGAATAAGCTCCTCTTCTGCCCTGTCCATAACAGAAGTTAGTGTGCTGACATAAATAACATTAATACAAACAAACAAATAATCTATTGAGCATCAAAATGCACAAGCGAAGTGGCGTTGTTACAATCAAAACCTAAAAACGCTTAATTGGCTTTCATAACCACTCCAAAATCAAGTTTTGATATCCTAGATTATGACCAAGTGTTTATTTTCTAAATTGAACCCTCACTCATACACACAGGCAAGAACACACATACACACACACATATATATATATATATATTATCTGAGTATCATTAATGTGGACTACATCTGCATTATCACACCTGGAGGTTCATCATTGGAACACATTTATGCTCTAAACTAAGTTAAATTTTCATGTTTATAAGGAAATGAAATTTAATACTGAGCTAATTCCTACAAATATCACTAGAAATCTCATCCCTTCTACTGAAGTAATACCATATCTATAGTCTATAGAAACAAACCCACTGAACCCTTCAATTAAAAATACGTAAAGTGATTGAAAGAAATCCTACAATTATAAAATAATACCTTTCATATGATTAAACTGGGAAATTCGGAAAGACGATTTCAGCAAGGTAAAATTGTCGACGCCACATGTCGAAGATGAGAAAGAGAGACGGGTAGAAGGGGATAGATTCCGAGCTGGACGTGGTGAAATGAGCGATTTCGACATTAATCCACCCTCATTGGGCAAGAGAAGTGCCCGACGGATCAATCTTCCCAAATTTCTCATCATCAATCAACAAAATCCTTCCTCCCCAAAATTTCAGTGCTTCTGGCGAACAAAATTAGCCCGGAAAGGCAAGGTCACAACAAGGGGTGGGTTCTCTTACTTGGATGGGGTGCTGTATCAAAATGGAAATTTTCGATTCAATCAGAAATAGTTGGATTATACGCAAATAATCAGAACTGAAACGGAAATTAAACTTAAAATGTTCAATAATTACAAAATTCGATAAAAAAAAAATAAAATAAAATTATAAATTTATATATTTTTTTAACCAAAAGCTTATAGGAGTAGATTATTAAATTATAAAATAAAAATAAAAAAATTATTATCTAATGCCGATCATAAAAATATTACAATAAACTCGATCTCCTTCATATATATATAGTGGAAGAACCAAACATAAGACGAATAAGAGGAAAAAAAAAAACTCACCGGATGTTGCAGCGGGAGGCGGATTTCGCCTCCGGCAGAAAGGCGGCGGCGCAACGTAGAAGAAGAAAGGAAGGAGAAAGGAGAAGAAGAAGAATAACGGAAGGAGGAGAAGAAGACGAAGAAAGAAAGAAAGAAAGGGGAAGAATTGTGGGGAGGGCAGGGGAGCGGCTGTGGTAGGTTTTTTAAGCGGACTAATTCTTGTTCTCATTGTCATTATTATTAATTGTATTATTACACTTTCATTTCTATCTTTTGGGCTAAAAACAAATAAATTAAATTATACAATACAATATCATGGTTATATAACAATACATTCGTATTTTATTTATTATATAAAATCTTTTATGTTGAATTGAAATTTGTATAAAATGTTTAAAAAGGAAAAATTGTATAGAAAATGAATGTAAAAATAAAAATAAAAATTTATTTCAAATTGTCTGTACTATTTTAATAATAATTTGTTTGTGAAGTTTTCATTTTGATATCATAGTTTAAATATTTATTTTTTATTTTTAATTTTTTATTAAAATTCAATTTTAAATTAAAAAATACATTAATATATATATTTATATTCAATCAAATAATTATTTTAGGATAAATTACAAAATACTCTCTTGTATTTAGTAAAAATACATTTTATTTATTACCTGAAATTTTTTTACATTAAATTAAATATACACAAAATACCCTATTTGTCCAAAAATTGATACTTGTTATAAATACGGACCTAAAAAATATACAAGTTTTATATAAATAAAATATCTTAACTAATTGTTTTTTAATAAAATAAATAATTGATGAGACTTTTACTTTTAGCTCCAAAAAACTATAAAATAAAGGGAATATTGAATTAAAATTCCTATTAGATAAATCATTTAGCAAATTCAATCTCTATTGGAAATTAATTACACTGTAGTCCATATTTTATGAATTGGGTTTGTTATAATTCCCCAAATGTTGTAATAGATACCTACATTATTTATTGTCCTACCCTAATTATAATATAATATACTTTTAGTTAAATATCGCGTGCATTTTCCACGAATTAAAAAATAAAAAGACAGTTATCCACGATTTAATAAGGGTTGAGGTGGGAAATCTCCTATAACTCTTCTCATCCCGATTTTAAACCCTACCTCATCCATCTTCAGACGAACCGACAATTTTCAATTCCAACAATCAAGTAGCGACCAATCGGTGCAAAAATGGTAAAAAAAAAAACAGCTAACTTGCTCCCATTCTCCAATATAAGCTCGAAAAAGTAAGTGTCTGGTTAGACTTTTTTCGATCTTTTATTTTGTTGTTATTAGTATTTTATATCGTAGTTTGTTCGATTTGTTGGGATGTAAGCCTTATCTCGTGTTTATATGTCTCGATTCGGTGTTGAGAAGCCCTAAGTGATGGGTGTAGTTGTATTTGTTAACCAAGTTTTAAATCGCTCATATGTTTCCCCACGTAGATCGGGGTTGGGTGTTTTACTTTGGCACCAAATTTTGGGTGATTTTATTTGTTTAATATGTGATTTTTGTTAATTTTAAAAATGTACATTTTGTTTAATTACCCGGAATTGCATATTTTAGTTTGATTGTTTGGTAATTAATCATGTTTGTGGGTTGTTAAATGTGGTATTGTTAGGTACCTGAGTTGTATTTTTCAGTTCTAGTTTGCTAAATAATATACTTTTAAAGGACAATTGTATACTCGCAGTGTGTTGTTACGTACTTTGGATGCACATATTAGAGCCATCAAAATGATTTTGTTCGGCCATTTTCTGGACTACCTAAAGATGATGTTGTTGTGGCACCGCCTTCTTGCCTTGGTTAATAACTTTAGCCCGAAGTCCATGTCAATAACATCGGAGCCGACATTGAGCTGCCCTTTGGAGCAGAGAAATATTCTTTAGTCTTGAGACTACATTCGAAGGGAGTTTACGTCATGGATAACATATCAATTGACAGTGAATGTTTTGTTCGAATATTTGGGGGCAATCTGTATTCCCTAGCCTGTGCCAAGGTGTTGCAAAAGCTACAAGAAGCTCTAGTACACGGGCTGGAGCCTTTATCCTAACCCGTGCCGAGGTATTGCAAACTATTATGTCCTTAATTTTCTTTTGGAGTATGTTAATGATATCACATGTATAAGTTGTATGTAGTAACAGTGATAATATGGCCATGTTATGATTGATCTTGTCTGTGGTTTTCATCGTGCATGAAGTTTTTTCGTTTGATCAACGCCACGTGACCTTTAATAATTTATATATTATATATATATATTTTTTAATTTTATTATAAAAAAATAAAAATTATCTACGTGGTGTTGACCTGGAGGATATATGGATATTTTTTTTATATTTTATATATTTTTTTATAATTTATACTTCAAAATAAAATAAAAAATAAAATTATTAACATGGCGGACACGTGTCAGCCACGTGGCACTGACTTGGCCAACATGTGTCCGTCGGCATGCCACGCACTATATATCTATTTATTGTCTAAATAATTTTATCGTTCTAGTTATATTTTAATTGACTGTCCATGTAAAAAATTAACTATATTCACGGATACCTATTACTTTACAGTTAATACCTTAGATATAATATATATACCTTTATTGTTAGTGTTTATACCCGATACACACATTTACGTACCTACATACACTCTACTTATGTTGTTGTTCGATAGTTATGTACCTATAATATAATATCAAAAGCTCCGTGTATACGTACTTATGCCCCGGAAACTTTTACTTAAGAAATCGATAATTTTGGGTATCATATATTCCCTATTAGTGGTCACCGGGGATGAATTCAACATAATAGTATTATCATCAATTTATGGAGAGTATTAAAGTATAAAGAGTACACATTTACAAAAATCTAACGTGGAACACCATCATACATATACATTAAATATTCAATATCTACTTCTGGATAGGGGTGACAAAAATAAGCACGGTCCGAAAGCTCGGTCCGAGTACGGCACGAAGTAACGTCCTTGGGCCTAAACAAATAGGCCTAAAAAATTTCGGGCCGTACCTAGCTCGGCCTGATTTTTAAAATTAATATTTAGATTTTAAATTATATATATATTAATCTTTTAAATAAATGCCAAAATTACAACATGATTTAATGGTAAAGGCCTTAGTTTGTATATGTTTGGTTGTGGGTTCAATTCTCCACTTATAAAACAAAAATTCTACTTTTACACATGAGAATGGCATCTCAAACACAACCATTAATATGTGAAACTTGCACATGCCATTATTTGCGGACGGACGGGACTCGAACTCGAGACCTAGCCTAGGTTCTGATACCATGTCGGATACAAAATGACCGTCTCATCTAAAAGCTCGAACTGTTAGGTAAACACAACCAGCATATGCATATGCCGCAAATAGGGATGGTAGGACTCGAACTCGAGACCTAGCCAGACTTTGATACCATGTCAAATGCAGAATGCGATTTACCCGGAAAAATGTGGATTTACCAATTTGAAGCATAGTTGTATATTTGGTGGTAAAGTTTTTTTTTTCTTCAACACAGTGAAAAAATGAGATGGGGATTGTGATGACACCGGCTGCATCATAAAATCGTGCGAAAAAATCGGTTAGCAGAGAGAATGGTGGGTTAGGCGTAAAAAATGATAGAAGTTGAGGGGAAAAAAAAGATTAAAAAAATGGAGAGTGAAATATGTAAACGAGGGAGTGCACATTAACTTTTTAACAATGTGGATTGAATATAAATTCAATTGTTGAAATTGGTATTTTATTCCAATTCTGCATAAAATAAAATATTAATCAATTATTTATTTATTTATTTTATTCAAAAAAGACTATTTAATATATTTGTTTCTCTTGTTTGTATAAAATTTACATAATTAGATTCGTATTTACATTAAAATATTACATTTAGATGAAAAAATTATTTTGTACAAACTTTAATTCAACATAAAAGGTTTCATACAAATAAATAAAATACGAGGTGTTTTGTATATTTTTACTAGAACACAAGAAGGTGTTGTATAACTTACCCTTTTTTTAAAAAAAAAAAAAGAAGAAAAAATAGCACAAAAACCTCTCATGGTTTCACGAATTCGCTAAAAATCCCACATTATTGTAAAATTCCAAAAAACTTGTTTGTAGTTTGTAAAAAATTGCAAAAAACCTCTTTCCATTAAGACTTAACGAATGGTGTATGTCACGCGCCTCAAATGCGATTTTTTGGTTCGGAAAGTGATAAATCTCTATATGAAATTACTAAAATACCCTCTTGGCTTTATTAAATGTATCTTCTCTTCTCCACCTTATTTCACTTCCATTTATTCTTCTATTAAGTTTTTATAAATTAATCTATCAAGATTCAGATTTTTTTTTTGTCATTTTCAAGTCCGTTAAACATTCCATCCGAAAAACGGTGCTTTTAGAGCTACCAATAATTGGGGAAAAATCAAACTTGAAATCGATCCACAAATTTAGAGCACAATTATTCGAACGGAGATGAGAGAATGACGTAAATAATTGCTCACCGGCGATTTTTGGGAAGTCGAAATAATAGGTTGTTCCAGATATTCTCCAATCGATATAGTAGACGGAAAAGAAAAAATCATTGTTGTTGTATTACAATAATGAAGAAAAGAAGAAGAGAAAATGAAGAAATAAAAGAAATTGATGAAAGACGTGTGCCACCCATGTTTCTTACAATCCCTTTCTCACTTCACCACGCAATTTTACCCCAAAATCTCGTCAATTTCTTGCTATGTTTCAGCCAATCCACAAATCTAATTTTACATCAAATACAAAATCTAGATTTTCCCATCCAGTTCCTAACCACCGATTTTCTGGTTCAAAAACCGGATTCAAACGGAGTCGAAACCGGATTTAAATGGATTATGGTTCAAACCGAAACCGGATTCAAAAGGAATCAAAACCGACGGTTCGATTTCGCACCAATCAAGCAGTTACCAGGGCGCAGAGGAGCTGCAAAACAAGGTAAAGGAAGAAGGAGGAGGAGAAAGAAAGAAAATAAAGAAAAAAAAAATTGGGGAATAAGAAGATACAGGAAGAATAAGGAAAGAAAAAAAAATGGGGGAAGAAGAAGATAGGAAAGAGGAAAGAAGAAAGAAAGAAAAAAATGGAAGAAAGAAAAAATTGGAGAAGAAGAA